AGCTGACCGGCTGCTGCATGCTGTAAGCTAACCCCCTTTCGGGTGCTCTGCGGGCCACTGTTTGTGAGTTAGTTCTTAAGTTCTTACTGTTTTTATGCATCTGTATTTGCACATCAGGAAACCCCAGTTCACCCAGCTGGTCCAACGCCAACGCCGGCCCCAGAACCCAAGACTCTGCTGCTCCAGCCGCCCGTGCGGAGCTTCTTGCAGAAAGCTGACCGGCTGCTGGATGCTGTAAGCTAACCCCCTTTCGGGTGCTCTGCGGGCCACTGTTTGTGAGTTAGTTCTTAAGTTCTTACTGTTTTTATGCATCTGTATTTGCACATCAGGAAACCCCAGTTCACCCAGCTGGTCCAACGCCAACGCCGGCCCCAGAACCCAAGACTCTGCTGCTCCAGCCGCCCGTGCGGAGCTTCTTGCAGAAAGCTGACCGGCTGCTGGATGCTGTAAGCTAACCCCCTTTCGGGTGCTCTGCGGGCCACTGTTTGTGAGTTAGTTCTTAAGTTCTTACTGTTTTTATGCATCTGTATTTGCACATCAGGAAACCCCAGTTCACCCAGCTGGTCCAACGCCAACGCTGGCCCCAGAACCCAAGACTCTGCCGCTCCAGCTGCCTGTGCGGAGCTTCTTGCAGAAAGCTGACCGGCTGCTGGATGCTGTAAGCTAACCCCCTTTCGGGTGCTCTGCGGGCCACTGTTTGTGAGTTAGTTCTTAAGTTCTTACTGTTTTTATGCATCTGTATTTGCACATCAGGAAACCCCAGTTCACCCAGCTGGTCCAACGCCAACGCCGGCCCCAGAACCCAAGACTCTGCCGCTCCAGCCGCCCGTGCGGAGCTTCTTGCAGAAAGCTGACCGGCTGCTGGATGCTGTAAGCTAACCCCCTTTCGGGTGCTCTGAGAGGCCACTGTTTGTGAGTTAGTTCTTAAGTTCTTACTGTTTTTATGCATCTGTATTTGCACATCAGGAAACCCCAGTTCACCCAGCTGGTCCAACGCCAACGCTGGCCCCAGAACCCAAGACTCTGCTGCTCCAGCCGCCCGTGCGGAGCTTCTTGCAGAAAGCTGACCGGCTGCTGGATGCTGTAAGCTAACCCCCTTTCGGGTGCTCTGCGGGCCACTGTTTGTGAGTTAGTTCTTAAGTTCTTACTGTTTTTATGCATCTGTATTTGCACATCAGGAAACCCCAGTTCACCCAGCTGGTCCAACGCCAACGCCGGCCCCAGAACCCAAGACTCTGCTGCTCCAGCCGCCCGTGCGGAGCTTCTTGCAGAAAGCTGACCGGCTGCTGGATGCTGTAAGCTAACCCCCTTTCGGGTGCTCTGCGGGCCACTGTTTGTGAGTTAGTTCTTAAGTTCTTACTGTTTTTATGCATCTGTATTTGCACATCAGGAAACCCCAGTTCACCCAGCTGGTCCAACGCCAACGCTGGCCCCAGAACCCAAGACTCTGCCGCTCCAGCCGCCCGTGCGGAGCTTCTTGCAGAAAGCTGACCGGCTGCTGGATGCTGTAAGCTAACCCCCTTTCGGGTGCTCTGCGGGCCACTGTTTGTGAGTTAGTTCTTAAGTTCTTACTGTTTTTATGCATCTGTATTTGCACATCAGGAAACCCCAGTTCACCCAGCTGGTCCAACGCCAACGCCGGCCCCAGAACCCAAGACTCTGCTGCTCCAGCCGCCCGTGCGGAGCTTCTTGCAGAAATCTGACCGGCTGCTGGATGCTGTAAGCTAACCCCCTTTCGGGTGCTCTGCGGGCCACTGTTTGTGAGTTAGTTCTTAAGTTCTTACTGTTTTTATGCATCTGTATTTGCACATCAGGAAACCCCAGTTCACCCAGCTGGTCCAACGCCAACGCCGGCCCCAGAACCCAAGACTCTGCTGCTCCAGCCGCCCGTGCGGAGCTTCTTGCAGAAAGCTGACCGGCTGCTGGATGCTGTAAGCTAACCCCCTTTCGGGTGCTCTGCGGGCCACTGTTTGTGAGTTAGTTCTTAAGTTCTTACTGTTTTTATGCATCTGTATTTGCACATCAGGAAACCCCAGTTCACCCAGCTGGTCCAACGCCAACGCTGGCCCCAGAACCCAAGACTCTGCCGCTCCAGCTGCCTGTGCGGAGCTTCTTGCAGAAAGCTGACCGGCTGCTGGATGCTGTAAGCTAACCCCCTTTCGGGTGCTCTGCGGGCCACTGTTTGTGAGTTAGTTCTTAAGTTCTTACTGTTTTTATGCATCTGTATTTGCACATCAGGAAACCCCAGTTCACCCAGCTGGTCCAACGCCAACGCCGGCCCCAGAACCCAAGACTCTGCCGCTCCAGCCGCCCGTGCGGAGCTTCTTGCAGAAAGCTGACCGGCTGCTGGATGCTGTAAGCTAACCCCCTTTCGGGTGCTCTGCGGGCCACTGTTTGTGAGTTAGTTCTTAAGTTCTTACTGTTTTTATGCATCTGTATTTGCACATCAGGAAACCCCAGTTCACCCAGCTGGTCCAACGCCAACGCTGGCCCCAGAACCCAAGACTCTGCTGCTCCAGCCGCCCGTGCGGAGCTTCTTGCAGAAAGCTGACCGGCTGCTGGATGCTGTAAGCTAACCCCCTTTCGGGTGCTCTGCGGGCCACTGTTTGTGAGTTAGTTCTTAAGTTCTTACTGTTTTTATGCATCTGTATTTGCACATCAGGAAACCCCAGTTCACCCAGCTGGTCCAACGCCAACGCCGGCCCCAGAACCCAAGACTCTGCTGCTCCAGCCGCCCGTGCGGAGCTTCTTGCAGAAAGCTGACCGGCTGCTGGATGCTGTAAGCTAACCCCCTTTCGGGTGCTCTGCGGGCCACTGTTTGTGAGTTAGTTCTTAAGTTCTTACTGTTTTTATGCATCTGTATTTGCACATCAGGAAACCCCAGTTCACCCAGCTGGTCCAACGCCAACGCTGGCCCCAGAACCCAAGACTCTGCCGCTCCAGCCGCCCGTGCGGAGCTTCTTGCAGAAAGCTGACCGGCTGCTGGATGCTGTAAGCTAACCCCCTTTCGGGTGCTCTGCGGGCCACTGTTTGTGAGTTAGTTCTTAAGTTCTTACTGTTTTTATGCATCTGTATTTGCACATCAGGAAACCCCAGTTCACCCAGCTGGTCCAACGCCAACGCCGGCCCCAGAACCCAAGACTCTGCTGCTCCAGCCGCCCGTGCGGAGCTTCTTGCAGAAAGCTGACCGGCTGCTGGATGCTGTAAGCTAACCCCCTTTCGGGTGCTCTGCGGGCCACTGTTTGTGAGTTAGTTCTTAAGTTCTTACTGTTTTTATGCATCTGTATTTGCACATCAGGAAACCCCAGTTCACCCAGCTGGTCCAACGCCAACGCCGGCCCCAGAACCCAAGACTCTGCTGCTCCAGCCGCCCGTGCGGAGCTTCTTGCAGAAAGCTGACCGGCTGCTGGATGCTGTAAGCTAACCCCCTTTCGGGTGCTCTGCGGGCCACTGTTTGTGAGTTAGTTCTTAAGTTCTTACTGTTTTTATGCATCTGTATTTGCACATCAGGAAACCCCAGTTCACCCAGCTGGTCCAACGCCAACGCTGGCCCCAGAACCCAAGACTCTGCCGCTCCAGCCGCCCGTGCGGAGCTTCTTGCAGAAAGCTGACCGGCTGCTGGATGCTGTAAGCTAACCCCCTTTCGGGTGCTCTGCGGGCCACTGTTTGTGAGTTAGTTCTTAAGTTCTTACTGTTTTTATGCATCTGTATTTGCACATCAGGAAACCCCAGTTCACCCAGCTGGTCCAACGCCAACGCCGGCCCCAGAACCCAAGACTCTGCTGCTCCAGCCGCCCGTGCGGAGCTTCTTGCAGAAAGCTGACCGGCTGCTGGATGCTGTAAGCTAACCCCCTTTCGGGTGCTCTGCGGGCCACTGTTTGTGAGTTAGTTCTTAAGTTCTTACTGTTTTTATGCATCTGTATTTGCACATCAGGAAACCCCAGTTCACCCAGCTGGTCCAACGCCAACGCTGGCCCCAGAACCCAAGACTCTGCTGCTCCAGCCGCCCGTGCGGAGCTTCTTGCAGAAAGCTGACCGGCTGCTGGATGCTGTAAGCTAACCCCCTTTCGGGTGCTCTGCGGGCCACTGTTTGTGAGTTAGTTCTTAAGTTCTTACTGTTTTTATGCATCTGTATTTGCACATCAGGAAACCCCAGTTCACCCAGCTGGTCCAACGCCAACGCCGGCCCCAGAACCCAAGACTCTGCTGCTCCAGCCGCCCGTGCGGAGCTTCTTGCAGAAAGCTGACCGGCTGCTGGATGCTGTAAGCTAACCCCCTTTCGGGTGCTCTGCGGGCCACTGTTTGTGAGTTAGTTCTTAAGTTCTTACTGTTTTTATGCATCTGTATTTGCACATCAGGAAACCCCAGTTCACCCAGCTGGTCCAACGCCAACGCTGGCCCCAGAACCCAAGACTCTGCCGCTCCAGCCGCCCGTGCGGAGCTTCTTGCAGAAAGCTGACCGGCTGCTGGATGCTGTAAGCTAACCCCCTTTCGGGTGCTCTGCGGGCCACTGTTTGTGAGTTAGTTCTTAAGTTCTTACCGTTTTTATGCATCTGTATTTGCACATCAGGAAACCCCAGTTCACCCAGCTGGTCCAACGCCAACGCTGGCCCCAGAACCCAAGACTCTGCTGCTCCAGCCGCCCGTGCGGAGCTTCTTGCAGAAAGCTGACCGGCTGCTGGATGCTGTAAGCTAACCCCCTTTCGGGTGCTCTGCGGGCCACTGTTTGTGAGTTAGTTCTTAAGTTCTTACTGTTTTTATGCATCTGTATTTGCACATCAGGAAACCCCAGTTCACCCAGCTGGTCCAACGCCAACGCCGGCCCCAGAACCCAAGACTCTGCTGCTCCAGCCGCCCGTGCGGAGCTTCTTGCAGAAAGCTGACCGGCTGCTGGATGCTGTAAGCTAACCCCCTTTCGGGTGCTCTGCGGGCCACTGTTTGTGAGTTAGTTCTTAAGTTCTTACTGTTTTTATGCATCTGTATTTGCACATCAGGAAACCCCAGTTCACCCAGCTGGTCCAACGCCAACGCCGGCCCCAGAACCCAAGACTCTGCCGCTCCAGCTGCCTGTGCTGAGCCCGTTGCCGAAAGCCGACAAGCTGCTGGATGCTGTAAGCAGACTGCATTTTTGGCTCAGTGCAGGCTGCTGTTCACAAGTCCATTCTTACTGTTCTTACGCATTTGTGTTTGCACATCAACAGAACCCAGGATACTCCGCTGGTCCCACGACTACGCCTGCTCCGCAGCCTGAGGCTCTGCCATTGACAACAACAATCAAAGTTACGGTGGTGCCTTTAGATTTGGTAAGTCCTCATCCATCCCTTTACGAAAGTGTAGTGCTGCACAGGTTTATGTAAATGAAACATCATCATTGCAGTACAGTGTTATATGGGGTCCATATCACAAGAGCGAATGACATTTTAGCGAACGGCGACATTTGAGCGAATGGTCGTTTTAGCGAAAAACGGGGGCGCGCGTTAACCCATCCGTCGCGCTGCGCTTTACGCCGCTTCGCGGCGACAGTCTGCGGCAACTCATTACAAAAATATGAACTCACTTGGCCCACCCAAAAAGCCGACTATTCGCTAAAGTGTCATTCGATGAAACGTGGGCGTTCGCTAAAACGTCATTCGATCAAGTCAGTGCCTCCCTGTTATATGAGAGATGTAGTAGTTCAGGCTGCCTAACGTCTCATTCATGTGGATTGTGGTTTAGGTTTTGCAGGCTGGACGTAATGATCAAGGCCCTCTGGAAGCGCGACACTGCCCTACAGTAAGTTATTGGCTTCTTTAAGCAGCGTAATCTTTGTAAGCTGACTAACTTCTTTGGTTTTACATTTCTCAGGTGACAACAAAAGACCAAGAAACCCAGTGGGAAGCTCTGGAACTAGAGGACCACACCTACTCCTTCAAGGAGTCTCGAAAACCTGCCATCGCGCTGAAAATGTCGGCTTCAGATATAATGTTTTATACGGGTGTCTCGAAGACCGTGTTTCTAAGTCTCGCGGAGGCCGTCTGTAAAATGACCACCACCAACTCTCAGTTGTCCGCAGAAGACCAGCTTCTGATAACACTCATGAGATTGCGCCTAGGCCTCCTTTATGGGGACCTAGCTAGGAGGTTTGAGACCTCGGTCACTAGAATTTGTGACATTGTGAAAAGAATGCTTCGGATCCTAAAGAAGATCATGAGCTATGTTGTTTTCTGGCTGCCACGGTCACGCATAGAAAACAGTATGCCTGCCTCTTTTGTTGAAGGCGGTTACGGCAGGACTACCTGCATCTTTGATTGCACGGAAGTCATTCTGCAGAGGCCTAAGAAGCTCATGGCTCGAGCACAGACATTCAGCTCTTACAAGGCAAACAACACGGTCAAATTTCTTACAGTTATCGCCCCCAATGGCTTCATTATGTATGTGTCAGATGTGTATGGTGGGAGGGCTTCCGATAAATACATTGTGCGGCACTGCGGGGTCGAGGACCACTTCCAGCGTGGCGATGAGATTATGGCTGATCGTGGGTTTACTTTGGATGCCCACCTGGAGCTTCAAGGGGTGAAGTTGAACATGCCGGCGTTCACAAAGGGTAAGACGATTGCATGGCATGAACCCTAATGCAGGCACTGTTTATTCATGTCCTGTCTGCAAATGCTTTGTGTTAGTTATACTCTTGGAGATAACTAGGGCTGGTTCTTGGTTTAAAATTTTAGCCAGTCTCATTGCCTTGCAATAGTCAAATTTTTGGTTGCACTGATGTTCAGGCTCAATATATTGTGAAAAGAGCAAGGACGCCTGTTCTTCGTTGCTTCCTTTTACTGTGTGATAAACAATGCAATGCACTTTTTCAGCTGGGGATAAACTTGAACCTTCAATTGATAATGCTCAAATGACAAAATATTACTCCCAACTGTGAAGGCAAAGAGGTTTCCTGATGTTATCTGGCATGAGCAGGGTCATTCACTTCACAATCATTCCTGCAGCGCTAAATAGATGCTTGCGAGACGTTGAACAAAGACGCACGGAACTTTCTTCATTACTGACTCGACTTCTAAAATGAGGAAGCCTAGCGAGTACTATGATATAATGTAACATAAGAAACGGGCCTTGGGAGAAAGGCACTGGCCTTATTTTATGTCATCTAAACAGGCAAATGTGCACAGATTGGATACAAGTGTTGCGGCAGCACTGAGACGAGACTTGTATCCTCACTGATTGAACATGATCCTCAGCCAAACACTGATGCAGCACTCGTGTCTCATTTGTGCCTCATGCTTGCCTCTTCAGGTACTGTACAATATTCAGGCCTATGAGCCTTGCTATCTAAAAGGTGTTCACCTGGGAGCTAATTCCTGCAGAAAGGAGGGATTTCCTTCTTTCTGGGTCAGAGACAGAATCGAGGAGAGGTGTCCTCGTCTCTGGCTGCAGACTGGGCCTTATATTGAACTAAGCTTAAGTTGGAAGCAATCCGAGCCTAAATGTGATGAATGTTATTGGCATTTTTGTGTTCCCCACAGATGAATGGACTAACCTTTTAAAAGCACGGAAACCGTAAAAAAAAAAAAAAAAAAAGATTTTTTGGGGGTTTACTTAGTTAAAAATAATATTCAATTAATTGTGAGGTTAGTCTATCAATCACCCAGCCATAGGAAATATGACTGTGTTTGCTTAAATGTGAATGTGGATCCTCAAATGTTTGCAATGCAAGTTTGATCTGTTATAAGTATGTGCTTGCATTGTGCAGTGCTTCATGCTGCTTTGCCCAGCTATTTCGGTGGCCAGAGTGCTGCGCTCTCCAGTGGCTTGGCACTAGACTTGTCAACTTGTTGGTGCACAACATCCAACTTCTTTGAGTGGATACCTCCGGCAACTTTCCTTATCTGCCGAAATAGTGGGAACATGCTTCTTAATTCTTAATCTCGCCAAGCATTTTAAGCTAATAGGAGCAACTCAAGCATGCTTTGCATGTCTGGCATTGCATGTACACAAAACACAGCACACAAGCTGTCTTTTTTTTCATCGAAATGCTATTTTGGCCGCAGCCAAGCCATGGTTTTGAGACGTAGCACTTCAGAAACTATTGTGAAGCACTACATGAAGTAGCCATTCTTCAACTTTGTCAAGGATAGTACTGCCATGAGAAAACAGTTTGCGTGTTTTGTATGCAAGGAGAAACGGAGAGAGGAGTACATGAGAGCGCACAGGGATGTCGGAGCACCGAGCTCTAATTTCGCTTTGATTAGAGGGAGACTCTGGAGACAAATGCAGCTAGCCCAATATTCCTTCCAGTCAGAGCTTGGCACTCTCTCCCCGCACGCTTGCAGTAAATCTGCAACTCACATATTTCTTAATGTTTGTTGTGATTTCCTTAGTTCTACATGTCCTCCATTGTTTCTAGTTCAGTGCATAGCCAGAAATTGTGTTGATGTGACGTATTCCTTACTAAAGTCAGCATGCTATATATGCAGCTTGCAATGGAAGGACTGGTCAAAGGTACTGCAGGATGCAGCGTTAGTAAGACTAAACAATCATATGTCTTCTTTATTATTCGCAGGGAAATCCCAGCTCTCCGAGCTCGATGTGACTCGAACGAGAAGAATCGCCTCATTACGGATACAAGTTGAGAGAGCGATTAATCGCATTAAAACGTACCGTATCTTCAAGTCAGCGTTAACCATAACGTCGAGGAGAACCATCAGTGACATGGTCTTCATCTGCGCAGGACTGTGCAATCTGAAGGCACCTCTGATTGCAACGCAAGAAACAGCGGCAAGTGCCAGCGTTGATGTGTAGACACTGACTCTGTAGACACTGAATTCTCGAGCTTGTTTTCTACATGTTCCGTTCTAATGTATTGGGTCTGATCAAGAAAATGAAACCCGGTTTTTGGCGTGCATAGACAAATTATTTGTCGCCAAAAGATGAAACTGGGAATGTCAGGCTAGCAGTGGTGAGAGAATGTGAAAGTTCGACAACTTGAAGTTACCTGGATCATCCAAATACTCGGGGCAAACGAAAAAAAATGGTATTCTAGATGTATCTAATGCTCCGGTGGGAAAAATTTGTGAGTAAGAAATGCAGTATTGTTTTTTTTTTTTTTTTTGAGACCATACTTCTAGCACAGAATGTGGTTTATGGGTTGTTTACAATAGGAAACTAGATATGAACAAGCGTCGTAACGACCGACATGTTCGTTAAAGTTGTGTATAAAATCAACATAGCCCCAGCAGGGATAGAATCTAGGTCGACTGCAGCTGCTCTCAGTAGACAAATTCGGATAGCAAATTCTGTCATTGGCTATTGTTTGTTATTTGTTTTTAAAATAAACACCACAGGCATTTAGTGGCATTTGTTCTGTTCTACATGCATTACGCTGAGGTAGTCGTCTATTTATAGAGAAATTTCGTGTTTCCATTTTTCGATTCTGGTAACATATTCTCCAGCTTTTGCATTCTGCCACTACAGCTAGTGTCGCATTCTCATGCAGTTTCCAGTACCTATGCGGCTCAAGACAGGTTTTATTTCCTTGGACAGACTTGGTAGTGTGGTTTATGATCATTGCTCTATCCGTGTTTCCTTTGTGTGCCTCACATCGCTGATGTTGAGTACAATTTTTGTAGGTGTGTTTGTTTTGATCTCTTGTCTGCAGGATGGAAGTTTTTTGTTTATTTTCTTGCTCACTTAATTGGGGAGTGGAACAATTTTCAAACTTCAGAACAAAAACCTTTCATTGCTTAAGTGCACTAGATATTTTTTTAACAATAGTGGGTTTACACAATTGCACGACATACGTCACAGCAACAGGAGCTCAGCAATCACGTAATTCGCCAACACTGTGACATCATTGTCGTTTCTGCACTGCCTCCTGAGCACAGTTCCGAGAATTTTTACACCACTTCCGCTCTCAATTCCACTCCCGTGCCGTAACTAAAAGTCATTTTCTTTGGACCCGCTACAAACTTTCCAAGGTCTAGCCATACAACGTGCAAGTTCGTCTGCTCGGATGGTCGTGTGCATGCTCCGGAAAAAGTGGGGTTTCTGTTACATCCACCCTCAGAGTGAGAACGGTAAGGCATGTCTTTCAAATGCCTGGCCCTCAACTAGTGTTTGTGGTTTTGATCACGTGGTCGTTGCTTTTTGATGCATTCACTAGCTGTGCATTTGCTCGAGGCACTGTGAAGTTTTGAGCAGGATGTCAACGTTATTCCCCCAGCAGGATCTCGCTAAGAGCTGTTGCTGTAAAAATAATACAAATTGAAGTTCATGGTATCTTTCAACTGTTACACTGTCTACTGAGTCACTGTGTTCTCAAGCATGCTCGTGACCTTCCTTTTTTCATCGGTGGGAAGAGGACCTTTCGCCTCAGATAGGAACACTTTTCAAACTTTGGTTCGATCGCCTTGGAACATTATAGCCAGTCGGCATCGGTAATGGTCGTGGCAGGTAGCCAATCTTGGATGAGTGAAAAAACATAAGTATGGACATCCGTTTTTGCTCGCTTGTCATGAAAGCATCGGAAGGGGATAATTTGGTTGACTTCAGGTGAATGGCACGCTTACACACGCAACTTGCTCATTCACTGTGGCGTAGCTCGTGGTAACTTCGGGCCATTTTTCTCATGGCTGCCACATGCTGCTGCAAGTTGGGAAATAATCTGGCTTTTGCTTCGCGAGAACATGAAAAATCACAATATTTTAGGGAAAGTCTGCATTTACTTTTACTTACGTTGATACAAACAAAATATAAGTGATATGCTTCATGTTTGTGTAGTAAATTGTTTCACCTCCCCTTTAGATTGAAAGTGTTAGTATTCTTATTTGATGCAAAGGATAAAACTTGGCTTATGGACTTAGTCTAGCAAAAAAGTAGGTTTTTCACATGCCTCGTTTTACTCATGCCAATTATTTCACCTCTTTCGTTGTGATATGTGTACTAGCGTAAACAAAAATAACATATTAATAAATAAAAGATCCTGCTTAGCCGAGGATAATCTTAAAATGTTAACCAGTTTAAAGAGATGCTGAACTGAAATCTGGATTCCACAAAACACGGCGGCAAAAGCGTTCAGCGGGATGCTACAAACACCAAAACATCACTCGTACAGCGATATCTCGAAGGGATGACCGTATTTCTCAGGAAAAGGAGGCGCATTGGACAGATGTGCTTACGTCTCGTTTCTCCGAGGAGGAGAAGGAACAGCCTCACGTCTTCTCCGCCTCGTCGCCTTGAGGGGGCGAAGTGAGAAGAGGAGGAAACGAGACATCTTGACATCACGCGCATTGTCCAATCTCGACCTTTTTCCAAAAATGCGGCCGTCCATTCGGGATATCATTTTACGAGTAGTGTTGTAGGGATCGTAGTCTCCCGCCTACAGCTCCTGCAATGTTTTCTGATATCAAAATTTCGGTTCACCATCCCTTCAAGTGCAGTTTCAAGATTGGTTTGGAACCGGTGGTCCCCTCTTCAGCTTTGACAACACATGCAATAGCCGAGGACGAGGACGCTGGTCTCGAAAGCCTTGTAAGCTGTCCTTGATGTGTTGTACATTTCAAGATTTTCCAAAGTTGGACAGTTTTTCTACTTCTTGGACACTTGCAAGTTACTGATTTCTGTTCTGCTTGACCGATTGTGGTATGTGTATATGAAATAATTCAAGGAATGTGAAAGACAAATGGCACAGTCTTCACACCTCGTCGAACCTTGAAAAACATGGCGAGCAGGCGACAGTCAACACTGGCTTGTTGTATGAAGCATTGTCACTGCTCCACCTGCTGCTTCATTTATTTCACCTTTTGTTCTTGTCACTTTTTGGAAAAAGTTTGATTACATGAGGGCCAGTCGCCTGTATTCAAGGCACATGTTCAGTTTGCCCCCCCTTTGCATCTTTTCAAGGTGCGGCAAAATCGAAGAAAAATAAAACCGGCTCAGCCGAGGTGTGTTTTCAGCAATGAAGCTGCCATCGAAAGAAATCTCTAACAACACATCACTGTTCTTTGACCACACATACAAAAAACAGAGCTGCTTCCCTGTGCACAGCATTGTGTACTGTACTTGGCTATAAAAGCCGTTACTTCCAGTCTTTTTTAGTGTGTATGTGTCATCTCTTCTCTGGAAATCATACCTCTTATTAGTGGCAATCATTGCCCTGCAGTCTTGCACCTCTGGACACTTTATCTCCAGAATGGCATTTTGACTTTCGATGATGCCATCAGGAGTAGCAGAGAGCCAGGGCTCCTCACTGCAAACTACAGTTCCACAGAGGGAAACTGTGAACCCTGTCTTTACAATGAACGCCTGCCGCGCTACAGGTTCATACATGTGTCCATGTCTAGTGGCAGCATTTCCATGGAATGAACTGCCTGTCAGGGTTAGAACGGCCTTCTCGTGAGATGTTTTTATCATCTTTGGTACGCACTTAACGTTGGATGCTGTGATGCGCAACTTCCGTGAATCTTTCCACAAGGCATTTGTAGTGCCCCGTGTTCCAGTTTCAAGTTGCACAGCTGCAGTACTAGTTAGTACAACAAAGTCCCTATAAAATAAGTTGCATGCTGGGCACGATTCTGGAAGGGTCTCTGCCCTATCATGGTCTCGGTGGCTTGGGGCCTGGTCGGGCACCTTGGCAACTGGTTGAGCCTGGGGCTGCCTAGAGGCTGTGATGGTCTTATGCAAAAGCGTTCCTGCAATATAAACAGAATTTATTAAAAACGAAACATACAACTTCATATCAATGAATTACATTAGAAAAGCAAGAACAAATGATAACGGGCATCCTTAGCTCGTTTGCAGCTTGTTTAGGTGATCTCTGCATTTAGAAATAGTACCTGATGTGTCAAGGACAGACAAAATGGTGTTGGAATTTATTTGATATCGCAGAATATTTTATTTTCAAGTGTTTTCTGCTGATACCGGAATGCTGGTAAATCAAAGTGGGTGGCAGACACAGCTGACTGGTCAGTGACTCACCAGTTGGAACAAGTTCTGTGGTTAAAAAAGGGGTCTGTAGAAGCTCAACATGGAAGAGTTATATATTTATTGTAACAGTAATGTATGCACTAAGTACACTTGTTAAGGTAGTGCAGATAGGCTGGATTGCTCAAGCTCTATGGTTGCCCTTGAGCTCTAATCTTGTTATTTATCTCGTGTAAAGCTTCACATCTGATCTTATTTTGTTAAATATTGCCGTCATCTTTTTAGGGGCACGGAACAATTGTTTTTGAGTAGTGTTGTTAGCAGAGCTTGCCCCAATTCAAACTTGCCAAATGGACCAGGGTACTGGACTTCCAAATGGTTAACAATTAGACAATTAATAAACGAATATGGCAGCTACTTTGACCCTACTGTTTCATGACAAAATGAATGCTCCACATGTTTGGGGTAGTTACCAGATGGAATGAACCTGCCATTTCCACTTAAAATTAACTTCACATAAGCTCACTACGCAGAGTTTTGACATAATAATTATAAGAATAGCTCATACTTGCCTGGTATGCAGAATAGGCTCTTGAACGGAGCTGCTGCATGAAACTGCTGGAGCTCCTGGTCGTCCCGAAGGGAATGGACCTGCTTCGGTTCCGTAACTTCAGTCCCTCTTCTTTCTACTGCCCTGGCAGTTCCTTTCTGGAGCCGGAAGCTGATGTTGTGCAGGGGTGCTGGCATAACATTCTTCTTGGTCCCCCGATTCCAGTTCATTGCGGCATCGGTGCATGCCTGCCCAGTAAAACCAGCACTTGCCGCACAGTCCACTTTCCACAAGACAGCCCCGACGTGGCTGCAAACTCTTGCCTTGCCGGCCATGCATGTGCACCCACCAGTGATCACCTCACCGTCTTTCTTCGCGCAAATCCATGCGTCATTGGGCCTGTTCACAGACTGTGAACCTTGAACAGTTCCTTTCAGTAGAAGTGTGCACGGGTCAATCTCATGCACCAGCAATGCTCCGACCCAGCCGCTTTGCACGTAGTTGTACGAGTCGAGGCTCTTGTACGCCTTGACCTCCTCCAAGTCGCAGGCCTTGGTCTTGAGAAGATAGTAAACTATCTGTGGGGCACGAATTTCTGGCCATTTCTTTAGGTTGTCCTCCCATGTAGTTATGCAGGTTGGATGGGGGTAAAGGCGGTTCTCTGAAAATAAGATTCCACACAAAATTAGGGAAATGGTAGTTAGTGACATTAGAGTTCCACCAATATCAGCACATAAAAAAGGAAATAGGCAGAATAGAAACAGACATCTACAAGTGCCGTAATAGGCCTCAACAAGTCAAATGTAGAACGAATTTTGCAGCTTGTGGTGAAAATATAAGACCCTGGGTGTAATGATTGTTATTGGCTACTCAAGTTTTGTTTTTCATTCCGTTCATTCCTACGAGGATGTGCACTATAATTTTGTGTGTTGCTCGGTAGCGACGCCCGTTAAAATACGTTAAGCGAAACAATACGAAAAAAGGAGCGAAAAATCGTCGTCCCCCCCCCCCCCCTTTTCACCCCCATCTCCTGAATAGTTCCGACGCATCTGGGCGTCATACGAAGTACAGATGTCCCGGTAACTGGCGTACCCCTCGACGGTGCACCATAACAAAAAAACGTTCGGCCCGCGTCGCCAACTTGTATTTCTACGATTAAACGGCGATACTTCTATGCCCAGGGTCACCCTCGCTCGCGCATAGAAACCCTCCGTCAGTCATTCGCAGAAGACTGTCATTCTTCACAAACAACAACACGCGAAGAGTAAAACACTGGTAAACGTGCTCAGGAAAAGTGAACATACCTCCGATTTCGATTACCGGCGACGCTGGCGACGAACCTCTCGGCGCTGTTGACGCAACAACGGGCGCCATCAAGGCGAATAAACACACCAGAACACAAGAATGATTCACACTTTCAATAACAAACAAATTAAGAACTCACTAAAGGGAAAACAATGAAGATACGATGCACGGGGTCAATGGGGAGAACGCGGGAGCTAGGAACAACGCTGCTCACCGCATACCAAAATGGGCGCGCAACAACCGTACGCCAGACGGCGCGGCTGTCGCTGCAACACGCAAGATGGCGACCACTACGCGGAAAAGGTGTATACCAAACCGGGACCGGTTCTCCGGTTTGCTGTAACTCTCCATTATATGCCACCGATGCACATGATTCATAGGCGAAAATAAGACAATGAACACTTTCAAAATGGCCGCCGTTGTCCCCGAAACCCCTCCCCCCCCCCGAAATTTTTTTCTGGGTACGGCCCTGGTCGGTGCACTGGCAGCCAGCCGATTTTAATCTCCACCTCTGCGCACGCGCTGTAGCGCTGGTCGGCTACCCGGTATACCAAACCGGGACCGGTTCTCCGGTTTGCTGTAACTCTCCATTATATGCCACCGATGCACATGATTCATAGGCGAAAATAAGACAATGAACACTTTCAAAATGGCCGCCGTTGTCCCCGAAACCCCCCCCCCCCCCCCCCCGAAATTTTTTTCTGGGTACGGCCCTGGTCGGTGCACTGGCAGCCAGCCAATTTTAATCTCCACCTCTGCGCACGCGCTGTAGCGCCGGTCGGCTACCCGGCATACCAAACCGGGACCGGTTCTCCGGTTTGCTGTAACTCTCCATTATATGCCACCGATGCACATGATTCATAGGCGAAAATAAGACAATGAACACTTTCAAAATGGCCGCCGTTGTCCCCGAACCCCCCCCCCCCCCCCGAAATTTTTTTCTGGGTACGGCCCTGGTCGGTGCACTGGCAGCCAGCCGATTTTAATCTCCACCTCTGCGCACGCGCTGTAGCGCCGGTCGGCTACCCGGTATACCAAACCGGGACCGGTTCTCCGGTTTGCTGTAACTCTCCATTATATGCCACCGATGCACATGATTCATAGGCGAAAATAAGACAATGAACACTTTCAAAATGGCCGCCGTTGTCCCCGAAACCCCTCCCCCCCCCCGAAATTTTTTTCTGGGTACGGCCCTGGTCGGTGCACTGGCAGCCAGCCGATTTTAATCTCCACCTCTGCGCACGCGCTGTAGCGCCGGTCGGCTACCCGGTATACCAAACCGGGACCGGTTCTCCGGTTTGCTGTAACTCTCCATTATATGCCACCGATGCACATGATTCATAGGCGAAAATAAGACAATGAACACTTTCAAAATGGCCGCCGTTGTCCCCGAAACCCCCCCCCCCCCCCCGAAATTTTTTTCTGGGTACGGCCCTGGTCGGTGCACTGGCAGCCAGCCGATTTTAATCTCCACCTCTGCGCACGCGCTGTAGCGCTGGTCGGCTACCCGGTATACCAAACCGGGACCGGTTCTCCGGTTTGCTGTAACTCTCCATTATATGCCACCGATGCACATGATTCATAGGCGAAAATAAGACAATGAACACTTTCAAAATGGCCGCCGTTGTCCCCGAAACCCCCCCCCCCCCCCCCCGAAATTTTTTTCTGGGTACGGCCCTGGTCGGTGCACTGGCAGCCAGCCGATTTTAATCTCCACCTCTGCGCACGCGCTGTAGCGCCGGTCGGCTACCCGGCATACCAAACCGGGACCGGTTCTCCGGTTTGCTGTAACTCTCCATTATATGCCACCGATGCACATGATTCATAGGCGAAAATAAGACAATGAACACTTTCAAAATGGCCGCCGTTGTCCCCGAAACCCCCCCCCCCCCCCCGAAATTTTTTTCTGGGTACGGCCCTGGTCGGTGCACTGGCAGCCAGCCGATTTTAATCTCCACCTCTGCGCACGCGCTGTAGCGCCGGTCGGCTACCCGGTATACCAAACCGGGACCGGTTCTCCGGTTTGCTGTAACTCTCCATTATATGCCACCGATGCACATGATTCATAGGCGAAAATAAGACAATGAACACTTTCAAAATGGCCGCCGTTGTCCCCGATACCCCCCCCCCCCCCCCCGAAATGTTTTTCTGGGTACGGCCCTGGTCGGTGCACTGGCAGCCAGCCGATTTTAATCTCCACCTCTGCGCACGCGCTGTAGCGCCGGTCGGCTACCCGGTATACCAAACCGGGACCGGTTCTCCGGTTTGCTGTAACTCTCCATTATATGCCACCGATGCACATGATTCATAGGCGAAAATAAGACAATGAACACTTTCAAAATGGCCGCCGTTGTCCCCGAAACCCCCCCCCCCCCGAAATTTTTTTCTGGGTACGGCCCTGGTCGGTGCACTGGCAGCCAGCCGATTTTAATCTCCACCTCTGCGCACGCGCTGTAGCGCCGGTCGGCTACCCGGTATACCAAACCGGGACCGGTTCTCCGGTTTGCTGTAACTCTCCATTATATGCCACCGATGCACATGATTCATAGGCGAAAATAAGACAATGAACACTTTCAAAATGGCCGTCGTTGTCCCCGAAACCCCCCCCCCCCCCCCCCCGAAATGTTTTTCTGGGTACGGCCCTGGTCGGTGCACTGGCAGCCAGCCGATTTTAATCTCCACCTCTGCGCACGCGCTGTAGCGCCGGTCGGCTACCCGGTATACCAAACCGGGATCGGTTCTCCGGTTTGCTGTAACTCTCCATTATATGCCACCGATGCACATGATTCATAGGCGAAAATAAGACAATGAACACTTTCAAAATGGCCGCCGTTGTCCCCGAAACCCCCCCCCCCCCCCCCGAAATGTTTTTCTGGGTACGGCCCTGGTCGGTGCACTGGCAGCCAGCCGATTTTAATCTCCACCTCTGCGCACGCGCTGTAGCGCCGGTCGGCTACCCGGTATACCAAACCGGGATCGGTTCTCCGGTTTGCTGTAACTCTCCATTATATGCCACCGATGCACATGATTCATAGGCGAAAATAAGACAATGAACACTTTCAAAATGGCCGCCGTTGTCCCCGAAACCCCCCCCCCCCCCGAAATGTTTTTCTGGGTACGGCCCTGGTCGGTGCACTGGCAGCCAGCCGATTTTAATCTCCACCTCTGCGCACGCGCTGTAGCGCCGGTCGGCTACCCGGTATACCAAACCGGGATCGGTTCTCCGGTTTGCTGTAACTCTCCATTATATGCCACCGATGCACATGATTCATAGGCGAAAATAAGACAATGAACACTTTCAAAATGGCCGCCGTTGTCCCCGAAACCCCCCCCCCCCCCCCCCGAAATGTTTTTCTGGGTACGGCCCTGGTCGGTGCACTGGCAGCCAGCCGATTTTAATCTCCACCTCTGCGCACGCGCTGTAGCGCCGGTCGGCTACCCGGTATACCAAACCGGGACCGGTTCTCCGGTTTGCTGTAACTCTCCATTATATGCCACCGATGCACATGATTCATAGGCGAAAATAAGACAATGAACACTTTCAAAATGGCCGTCGTTGTCCCCGAAACCCCCCCCCCCCCCCGAAATGTTTTTCTGGGTACGGCCCTGGTCGGTGCACTGGCAGCCAGCCGATTTTAATCTCCACCTCTGCGCACGCGCTGTAGCGCCGGTCGGCTACCCGGTATACCAAACCGGGATCGGTTCTCCGGTTTGCTGTAACTCTCCATTATATGCCACCGATGCACATGATTCATAGGCGAAAATAAGACAATGAACACTTTCAAAATGGCCGCCGTTGCCCCCGAAACCCCCCCCCCCCCCCCGAAATTTTTTTCTGGGTACGGCCCTGGTCGGTGCACTGGCAGCCAGCCGATTTTAATCTCCACCTCTGCGCTCGCGCTGTAGCGCCGGTCGGCTACCCGGTATACCAAACCGGGACCGGTTCTCCGGTTTGCTGTAACTCTCCATTATATGCCACCGATGCACATGATTCATAGGCGAAAATAAGACAATGAACACTTTCAAAATGGCCGCCGTTGTCCCCGAAACCCCCCCCCCCCCCGAAATGTTTTTCTGGGTACGGCCCTGGTCGGTGCACTGGCAGCCAGCCGATTTTAATCTCCACCTCTGCGCACGCGCTGTAGCGCCGGTCGGCTACCCGGTATACCAAACCGGGACCGGTTCTCCGGTTTGCTGTAACTCTCCATTATATGCCACCGGTGCACATGATTCATAGGCGAAAATAAGACAATGAACACTTTCAAAATGGCCGCCGTTGCCCCCGAAACCCCCCCCCCCCCCCCGAAATTTTTTTCTGGGTACGGCCCTGGTCGGTGCACTGGCAGCCAGCCGATT